GGAAAGGGTCCTCCGAAATGGTGAACTTGGATAATTGGAGGGCGTCGAAGAGGCAGAGCTCCTGAAGATCCAGAGTCCTATCAGGGACGACCCGATCATACCATTCCTCCCACTCTGGTCTCACTGTGGGCCAGCAGCGATGGGTCGGTTTATCCTCCAGCTTCCCTAGTCAAGACCACCTTCGTAAAGGAGATAATGATCTTCTAGACGTGGGTACAGAGCTGGAAGCTCAGTAGGAATCTCCCTAAAAATGGGCCCAAGCACATACTCTTGTTGCTCATGATGACGAGAAATGAAGATGCGTCCGTCAATGGCACTTTTCCCACCAGCCTTGTACTTTTCACACTCTTCGTCAATGATCTTTTCAAGGCTACAAATGGACTCGCACGCTCCACAATCGGTATTTTCAAGGAAGAAGAAGCCATTGATAGAGAGTTTTTTCAGAAGACAAAGTTGGGAAAGAGAGTAAAGGGAAAAAGAAAGCCAATAGAAGATGAAGGGTTTGTGTGTTAGACGACCAAGTGGATTGGGAGCACAAAATAAAAGATTTTTTAAACCTTTCCGTCTGAAAAACACCCAATCGTTTTATATGGATGGAATTTATAAAGAAGTACCAAAGGTATGGGTGCAAAAAGTTTCCCTCAATGTTGATAGTTATGGAGGGAAACGTATCTCAAATACTAGTGTTAGCTTTGAAATAAAATATTTGGCTTCGAAGCCAAGTTTTAGCGCTAAAAATCAAGTGACAAACGACTTCGAAAGCGGGAAGTCGACTTCAAAGCACATTCCACACCTAATGGTGCAGAAATGCTCAGGTATTTGTTTACTTCAAAAGGATTAAAGACCGGTTTTTAGGTTTCTTGATGAGAGTAAAATCCTTCGAAGCGAAATTTGAAATACCTTACGTTTAGAATTTTGTTGTTCTAGGCTTCAAACCAATAGTTAGTTTAGTAGTAAACAGAAGAAATCGCTTTTTTAGAATAAAACAGTGCAGTCCTTGAGAAAGGTTTCCGTATTTCGGAAAATATAGATTGTTTGTTCGAAGCAAAATTAGTTGATTTGAAACTACTTGATTATATTAACCATATGTTGCGGAATTGAATATGATCAAATCAAGTTTTGAAAGACAAAGTTGGTTAATTCGAAACTGGTAGCTAAAGAATTATGTTAATCCTAGTATCAATATGTGAGGCAATAATTGTTTTCCTCAAGGGAAAACTTCACACTTTGGGAGAGTTTGAGTTAGAATTTGGGATGAAATTGGGGAGTTAAAACACATCAACCATACAGATTAAGTTTACAATTGGAGTGGTAAATCAGAATTTGACAAATGAAATTTGAAAAGCCTAGTTTTATTGATAAGTACTGTTTACACTGGGATTCATTTGATTACATTCTCAATTTCATAGAAATATGGAATGAACAAAGTTACAAGATCATGGAATTTAGTCCAACAAAATTCAATAAATGAATACTCTTTTCTTACTCTATCCTCTATCTTATCCAGGTTTGGTTTATCTAATTGGTAAGCCCTTAATTGAGAAGAGAGTTATTGGGCCTTCACTTCAAATTTTATCTGTTTTAGGGCTTTAGCTGTGGCGTCCATCTCCTCTTCTTCATGCATAGCAACATTCTCCCCATGCTCAGAATCCTGGCTCCTGAAGGCCTCATATTCATCAAGGAGGTTCTCTGCCTCATACTGAACTTGAATTCGAGTAGAGAAGGCTTCATCCAGAACTTCACTGGTAATAGAAGCATTGAAGTGCCAGTTGAGCAAGAGAGGAAGTTGGTCTAAAAAGGTATAAAGCTCTATTTGGGCCACAGGGTTGAAAAGATGATTTCGAGACATAATATCACAAGCCCATAGAAAGTTTTTGTGGGGAATGTCATCTCGAAGGACTTCAAAGGATAAATGGGAAAAAGCAGCAAGCAAGGTCTGAGCCCTAAATTGCTGATAGGGAGTTAGAAGCACTGGGGCCTGGTAGGGAGTGAAGTATTGACCCTCAGAAAGAGTGAGCCCCAATTCATCAATCCAATTTGGATTGGAATGCAGGGGAGGAGCAGTCGGACGTTCCCTAAACGAATCTAGGAATTCAGGTCTGGCCACACATTCTAGCCAATCGGAGGTATAAAGTTTTACTTTTTTGGCTAAAAGCGCAGGACTGATCCCTAAAGCTTCATCAGGACGTGGGACACTTCGAACCATCCGAGATGGTAAGGTAGAAGTATACTATGCTGAAAGCAGATTGTCCTTAAGACTGCGTATACGATCAATAGGAACATATGGATATACTACAAAACTGCGTTTGGAATGAGAGATTTCAAAAGGGTCATCGAATTCAGGGAATCGGTGATAAATGCATTCCCTCGTCCGAGGTTGAGTAGGGGTAGGCCAAGTTCCCCAGCCAGAGGTCGTAGAAGAAGAAGAAGCAGCAGCTTCATCCCACGCGGAATGCTTTGTTGCAGGAGAAGAGCTTCCAATATCCATAGTTGCAAATCTTTGCTCCAAAGAATCGTAAGCAGTACGTTCTTGGTTAGAGGGTCGATGATTTGCGAAAGCTTCCATAACTTGCATAAATAGAGGCGGATAAAGGTGGCTAATCAATGTATGAAGGTTCTTTCGAGGACAAACAACATTATCAAACAAATCTTCATATGCTTGATCGAGGTAAGAAAAGGTCTGTTTGGCCATAAGAGCTGTACCAATCTTTTCGAATACTAAGATAGTGGAAATGTTCAAAGGATAGAAGAGAATTTAATGCAAATGTTCATTGATGAATGACGGTTGCATTTCTGAAAAATACAAAGCCCATACACATTCTAGGCCGTGGATAAATACCTTGATCCACTAATATCACCAAGTTTTGGGTATATTAGTGCGGGGAGTAATGTTGGCTACATATTTTGTACAGGCCAATCATAGTCCAACACGTGACAGGATGAGGGTAATACGGGAAGACAGTTTAAATCTTCAATCGTAATCATATACGTGGCAATTAGTATTGGTTATTAAAGATCTGCGGAGCACTGGATCAACAAAGAGATACAAGATGACGTGGCTTTTAACGGTTATACATATATTTAAATTCAAAATCAGGAGGGAAGCCTAACTGCAGATATGGCATAGTGGAGCTAACTGTAAGGAAACATCAGCAATCATGGAGAGGTGGTTCGACAGTTAGAAGTTCATTTCGACAGTTGTCATTGAGAAGTATAAATAACAGAGAAGGCCTCAGAAAGAGCACCAGACTCAGATCCAAAAAAATCAGTTTTTATCTACTTTATTTTCCTTTCAGTTTTTACATTTCTTATTCTTTACATTTTTGTACTTCAAATTCCTACACTGCACTTCGTTCATAGGAGTAGTTTCAAGTAGTTTATTGTTGTAAACCTCTACGAGGCCGATTTGGATCTTTGTAAGTCTTCTATCTTACTTAATGAAATGTTACAATTGTTCTTCATATTAATCGTTGTTTGCTTAATTCTCCTAAACAAAGTCACCAGTAAAAGTCCTCTTTATTGAGGTTGAAAGAATTAAAACGCAATCGTCTAATAATTAGTTGGCAATTAATATTCTGTAAGGACTGATTGATCCTTACTGACACCGCTCAAAATTACACTTGCTTTTCAAAATATGCCTAAGTCATAACAGTGCAGGTTCATTCGGAGGTATTTGTCAAACTTTGATGCTAACACGATTAGAAAGCAAACTTTGAAAATAGAGTATTTAAAAGGCAAACTTAAAAAAAAGAGTATTTATAATTTCCCACATCAAAAGAGAAAAACGGGCATTACAATTAGATTTAGGTCAAGTTTGACTATTTTAAATAAGTACATATTTTTTATTTTTTTATCTTTTTATCTTTTTTCTATCACATTATCTTTCTATTTTTCTGCACATCTTTTTGTAAAAAAATAAAAAATACACTTATTTAATTTATCCCAAACAACCTCTTAGTTATTTTTTTTAGGCAATTTCTCCTTTTGTCTTTTGGTCTTTGCATCGAGTGAGCAACATTAATAATCTTAACAACAATGATAGAGATTATTAATTTTGAATTTTAAAAAGACTACTAATGACATGACACTCAATAAAAAATAAAAATAAAACACTAAGATCAAAATATCAAATTATTCATAATGAAACCTACTACCACATCATTAATAATAACACTAATTAATACTCCCCTCATTTTCCTAATCTTAAATAACAAACTTTTGGATGTCGGTGAAAGATGATACTTTAATTAATAATCGTGCAGTGGGAGGGAGCAGTGTTCTGTCTGTCTTGGGAATACTACCCACCACCAACTTGCCTTTTTTCTGCATTGAACACGGATACGCAGGATTGTTTTTCATCTTCCATTTTTTATGAATAAAATACTCTTCTAACGTATAGATAAAATAAAAGATTAATATATTTAATTATTAATATTATAAATAATAATTTATAGTCACATTTAAGATTTCGTTTATTTTAATGTAAAATATTTTTTATCAAAAATATTTTATTTATTTTTTGTTTTTTTTATCAACTCATTTTCCTTTGTTTCATTGATCAAAAAACAAATAAAATATTTGTTAAGAAAAATATTTTTTTATATCATTTCTCAAAAATGAATTATTTTTAAAATTTTCGTAAATTAATTTTGACGAAATTGACTATCATTCATTACTTTTTTAACATATTTAGTATTTTTAAATAAATATCTTATCTTAATAAAAAGGTATAAATAATACTTTATTAATCAAAATTTCTTTTTTAAGTAATAAAATATTTTTATTTAAAGTATCAATCAAATACCAAAAAGTAAAAACAAAAATACTTTTTCTCTGTAGAAATTTTTACGTCGAAATGAATATAGTCGTACATAAATTTAATTTAACGCACTCGTGTATGGCGTGGGTAGCAAATGATGGAGAATGAAATATTGAGAAGAGCAAACAAATCTCTGGTGCCGACTGCCAGATCCTCACAGCTTCAGCTTCAGCTTTAGCTTTGACTCTCGGAATGGGAAAGAAACCCGTTAAGTACTGCGTGGTAATCTTTCTCTCTATACAATAACTTGTTCGATTTATTAATCCACGTGACTCATATTCTTTGTGTTGTGGGGGCTGGTGGGAGTAGGTGGACGCGTTCACCGGGTCGGGGTTGAAGGGAAACCCGGCGGCAGCTTGTTTGTTGGAGGATGAGAGAGATGAAGAATGGTTGCAAGCAGTTGCAAGTGAGTTCAACCTTCCCGTAACCTGTTACTTGACTCGGATCACTCACCCCGAGTCGTGGGTTCATCACTCAAACTCCTCGTCCATAAACCCTCGCTTTCGCCTCAGATGGTTCTCTCCTACGGTCGAGGTCAGATTCCACTTCACCCCCGTTAAAAATATTTACTTAATTAAAAAAATGCTTTATCCACCAAAATAGAGGGACCTGACTCTGTCGCTCTTATCAACCGGTATATCAATTGAAAATATATAAATGCAAACAATTTAAATGAAATTAAATTCAATAAATATAACATTCCTTATTTAATTATTAATGTTTATAGAACTTTCTAATTGATTTGAATTTTTATTTTTATTTTTTTGAAAAGATACCCTAACTGATATTGAACAAGACTTTCAGGACAAGATTTTTAAGAACTTTTATATTTTTAGTTTTAATATTTTTGATGTATTATTAGAATTCTTGTAATTTAGTACAAATATTTTAGAATTATTAGGTTTCTTAATTTTATTATTTTAGAATTAGATTTTGATTAGGATTTTAAATAGTTTAGAATTTTAGTCTCTTAGATTTCCTAGTTCTCTTAAGTTTTTTAATTTGTGTTGATTTAAGTTTCCTAATTTATTTTGGAATCACTTTTTCTACAAGTATTAGGTTTAGTTTATTATAAATAAGCTTACAAGCATATGTAATTGATTCATTCAATAATATATTTTAAGAGTTTTTCTTCTATCTTCCTTGTGGATTCAAGAGTGTTCTTGTGGATTTAAGAATTCTCGTCTACTAGAACGATATCTAGTCTCGTATGCTTTATTCTGCTACGTCACTAACTAATGTGTAATTTTTCCAAAAAGAATTGCTTCTATTTCTTTCTGAAAAAATTAGTGAAATATGCTTCTTCAACTTTGTGTAATAGAAGAAGTCCAATATATTTTCTTTTATTAGCTAACGTCGCTCAATATTTTCACAACGAAAATTCTGTTGGAAATGGTAGAAAAATTTTGGGTAAAACCATAATTTTTTCTCAAGTTTAGTCTATTTTTTAGGTGGGCCCCGAGTGTCGATTTACTTGGGTCAAAGTGGTAACGCGTTCTATGCCGCGTTGTGATTCACGTGGTATATTTGGTTGCTCAAAACCATTACCGAGTGAATGGGAAATTGAAGCCAAAATGTGCTCCATGGAAATGAAGTTTTGGTAGAAATTCCTTAAGGTTGTAAATTGGCTTGTCCCACATTGATTTGGTGGGAAGTTTTGAAAGGGTTTATAAGGCATGGGTTTGGTACTTGGGGTGTGCCCCAAGGGGTACCCAAGTGTTTTAGAGGGAGAGGTTATGGGCAAAATGGGCTAGACCCATTGGACCCAAAAATCACCACGCGCGCCGCCGTCCGCTCGGGCTGGGCTAGGCTGGTAAAAAACATTTGAATTTAATTTTATTTTTTAGTAAAATAAAATCCAGAATTCAAATTAAACTGATTTGGATTTTTTGTACATCCAAACAGGACCCTTCCCGTTTTCAAACAGAAATAAACTAGTTTGGAATTAGTGCACACCCAAACAGGGCCCTTCCCGTTTTGCTATCTGTTTGAATTCAAAACCAACAGGTATCATACCTGTTCAATTCAAAACCAAGAGATACATACCTGTTTAATTCAAAATGAAGAGCCACCTTCACATCTATAAATAGGACCACCCTCATTTGATATTTTGCATTCAGAAATTTCGTATTTCACTTCTGCTAATTATATTCTTCATCTTGCTGCTTTTATTTCTAAAGAAAGAGTGTAAACACTTAGTGTGTTCGTAAAGCAAACAATTTGTAGTGTTGCTATTGTTTGTGGTAAGATCATTTCATCCTGGAGATAGACGTCCAAATTCTGAAAGCACCGTGGAGAGGATGAATCTGTCTTAAGGACACAATGTCAAACACTGAACTTGATCAGAAATAATTCGAAACAAATTAAATCAAGTAAGTTATTTAATTTATTTTTAGTTGTTGTTTTTATTTGTTTATTTAATCAGATTTTAATTTTGTTTTTTGTAACAAAATAAAATCTGTGGTTTTATTTATTTATTTTTATTTTGAGTTTGATTTTTGTAATCAAACATATTCTCTCCTTTTCTCTATTTCTTTTATTCTTGTTGTTGTTTTGTACACAACAGAATTAAATCTTTTTAAATACAGTGAAGATTGTCCTACAATCTTAAGACAGAATCCTTTTTGGGTATCTTCATTGTATTTAATTTTCTGTGTTTTCAAATTAATATTCTGGTTGGAAAAACAAATAGTGATTTATGCTATTTGACAGATAGTAGTAATATACTGTCTCTTTTATTTGACAACTAGTAGTAATATACTGGTGTCATTAACAATTGCAGAATATTATTTGGTGTTACAGAAAATTATTTTGGTATTTTATTTTTCTAGTTTTCGTAACAAGGAAAATAAAATTATATTATTTTCTAGTTTTAATAACAACGAAAATAAAATTATTTTGTGTTTTAATTTATTTTTTGATTTTGGTAACTAGAAAATTATTTTGTGTTTGTTCTGACTTTTGTAATCAGATAGTTTTGTGCTATTTTATTTTCTAGTTTCAGTAACAAGGAAAATAAAATTACAGTATTTTCTAGTTTTAGTAACAAGAAAAATAAAATGATTTTGTGTTATAATTTATTTTCTGGTTTAAGTAACTAGAAAATTAATTTGTGGTTTGGTTTTCTGATTTTTGTAATCAGATATTATTTCGGTATTTTATTTTACTAGTTTTAGTAACAAGGAAAATAAAATTATAGTATTTTCTACTTTTAGTAACAAGAAAAATAAAATGATTTTGTGTTATAATTTATTTTCTGGTTTAAGTAACTAGAAAATTAAGTAAGTAACTTATGGTTTCGTTTGGTAGACCATTTTTTTTTTTTGAACCCTTTGTGAAAAGGTGTTAATTATTTTGACTTTATCATAGTTCATCGTGAGTATACATGGAAGAATATAAAAAAATACAAAAATTCAGTATATTTTTATGTATTTATTAACTTTTTAAAATATTTTTTCACAAATTTTTTACTTTTTAGATACATCTACGTAAGGTGTATCTAAAAAAGTAAAAAAAATGTTTAAAATTTAAAAAATATTCACTAAAAACAAAAAAATACGAAAACTAAAAAAGTCAGTTTTTAAAAAACTTAATCCAGAAAACTCAAACCAAACACACTGATTAAAATTTTTTTTCTAAATTTGGTCTATGTTTTAGGTGGGCCCCGTGCGTCGATATTCGCGGGTCAAAGTGATAACGCGTTCTATGCCACGTTGTGATTCATGTGGTATATTTGATTGCTCAAAACCATTACCGAGTAAATGGAAAATTGAAGCCAAAGTACGCTCCATGGAAATGGAGTTTTGGTGAAAAATCATTAAAGGTTTGAATAAGGCTTGTCCCACATTGATTTGGTGGGAAGTTTTGAATGGGTTTATAAGGCATGGGATTGGAACTTAGGGTGTGCCCCAAGGGATACCCAAGTGTTTTAGAGAGGGAGGTTATGGACAAAATGGGCTTAACCCATTGGATCCAAAAATCACTAAATGCGCACGCCGCCGTTCGGTCGGGTAGGGCTGGGCTTGGGTGCGTGGTGTGAGGTTGGGTTGAGCTTGTCCGGGCCAATACCTATCTTTTTGGGTCAAAAATATTTGAATTTTATTTTATTTTTTGGTAAAATAAAATCCAGAATTCAAATTAATTTTGGAAATAAACTGGTCCGGTTTTACTGTACACCCAAACAGGACCCTTCCTCTTTTTTATCTGTTTGAATTTTGAACCCAACAGATTCAAATTTGTTTAAATTCAAAACCAAACAGGTTTCATACCTGTTCAAACAGGTTTCTACCTGTTTAATTCACAACCTGTAGCCACCACTATATCTATAAATAGAACCGCCCTCATTTGATATTTAACACATTCAGAAAATTCGTACTTCACCTCTGCAAATTTATTCTTCATTTTGCTGCATTTAATTTTTGTAAGAAAGAGCGTAAACACTTAGTGTGTTTGTAAGGCAAACAATTTGTAGTGTTGCTATTGTTTGTAGTTGATCATTTCATCCTGAGAGATAGACGTCCACATTCTGAAAGCACCGTGGTAAGGACGAATCTGTCTTAAGGACACAGTGTCAAACACTGAACTTGAGCAGATTATTATTCAAGAATTAATCAAGTAAGTTGTTTAATTTATTTTCAGTGTTATTATTATTTATTTAAATCAGATTTTAATTTTGTTTTTGTAACAAAATAAAATCTGTTTTTATTTTTTTTTAATTTCTAATTTGATTTTTGTAATCAAACAAATTCTCTACTTTCCTTTATTTCTTTATATTCTTATTGTTGTTTAGTACACAACAAAATTTAATCTATTTAAATACAATGAAGATTGTCCAACAATCTTAAGACATATTCCTTTTTTGGTATCTTCATTGTATTTAATTTTCTGATTTCATAAAGACATATTCTGGTTGGAAAAACAAATAGTGACTTATGCTATTTGACAAATAGTAGTAATATACTGTCTCTTTTCTTTGACAACTAGTAGTAATATACTGGTGTCATTAACAATTGCAGAATATTAATTTGTGTTACAAAAAATTATTGTGTTATTTTATTTTTCTAGTTTTAGTAATTAGGAAAATAAATTTATTTTGTATTATAATATATTTTCTGGTTTTAGTAACTAGAAAATTAATTTGTGTTTTAATTTTTTCTAATTTTTGTAATCAGAGATTATGGCTACTGCTACTGAAACTGCAACTGGAAGTGGTACTCCGATTGTTACACCAACACCGGTCCCTATCTAGAACCATGTTCATGTACCAATAAATCATGGAGAAAAATCGAAAAAATTTAACGGTACTGAGTTTAAGAGATGGAAGCAGAAGATGTTATTCTATCTTACTACTCTTAATTTGGCCCGGTTTCTCTATGAAGAGGTTCCAGTACTTAAAGAGGGTGAAAGTAATCGGCAAGTTGTTGTCGCTGTAGATGCTTGGAAACATTCAGATTTCCTGTGCAGAAACTACATCCTCAATGGCCTTAACAACATGCTATATAATGTTTACAGACCTTTGAAAACAGCAAAAGAAT